TTGTACCAAAGTCCTCAGGTGAGTAAACCTCAAATTAAGACTTGTTATTATTAATCATAATACAATTTTATCATACCAAAGTACCTAAAACTTTATGTATTTAATTTATAAAATGCTGACCATCAAAGTCAGTCTGTGGTCTGGACGCTAAATTCTTTTCAGGGACCACACCAGTATTCAACCCTGTTTCTTTAGGGTCTCTAACATATAAAGCTACATAATCTGGAATTTTCCAGGAAGTTATTATGTGGGACTTCTGGCTTTTTTCTCCTAGCAGTGACTCTATGAGCACCATCATCAAGTACAGAAACATTAGTACTAATAGTTAACAGGACATTCTAAGACATTTTAATAACTACTATATTAACACTACCAACGTCCAATAGAAGGAACTAACTGAAAAAACATGGAGTCATTTCAATCTCATTTGATGGAACTCCATCCTTCAGTGGCTCAGGCCTTACTCCTTTCATAGTCCACTGGCAGACTGTTTTAGCACCTGCTTCAAAATATATCCAGAATCCAGCCATATCTCACCATCTCTATTGTTTCTATTTTGGTCTGAATTACCTTCTTTCTAGCCTGGATTACTGCAAAACTGGATGCTTGAAAGTAATAGTGAAATGCCTTCAAAGTTCTAAAGAAAAATTAGTTTGAACCTAGAACTGCACACCCACTAAAAAGTAAAGAGTGAGGAAAAAATAAGAGCCTTGTCAGACACACAAGGACTCCTAGTTTATCTCCCATGCACCCTTTCTGGGGAAGAAGAGGCACTTGTAAATATACTACAGCAAACAAACAGAAAAGACAAATTCAAGAAGGTGTGGGGTTAAAAAAAAGAAAAAAGAACATAGGAGTATGAAGAAAATACATCCTGAGGTGATAGCTAAAAATCGCTTTGTCCAAATTTGATGAAGCTGATTAAGAAGCATAAAATGATCTCAGGGTTAGAGTGAAGAACATACTTTTTTCCTGTCAGTTCTGTCAAAGAAAAACAAAGACAAGACTATAGTTCTGGAATCCCAGGGTGAGAGCTAAGAGCACTCTGAACAAATTTGGTAATTTGATAGTATGATTAAAAGAAGAGCTACAGTAAAGCAAGCAATTTTCTTCTGTCAAGAAATAAAAGCAGGCTGGATGTAGTGGCTCACACTATAATCCCAGCACTTTGGGAAGCTGAGGTGGGGAGGATTGCTTGAGCATACAAGTTTGAGACCAGTCCTGGCAACATAATACCCCATTTCTATTTGAAGATTTGTTTAAAAAAAAGAAATAAAAGCAATTAAAATCTGCAAAAGCCATGACCAATTGCGTAGCAAATGACACATGGCATGATTTGGGGAAGTTGATGGCTGGCTATAAAAGAATCCATTTGGCCTTTATGCTTGGAACATTCCGCTTAAATCTGCACAGACTTAAGGATATGCGATCGATACATAGGCCGGGTGCAGTGGCTCATTCCTGTAATCCCAGCACTTTGGGAGGCCGAGGCTGGTGGATCATGAGGTCAGGAGTTTGAGACCAGCCTAGCCAATGTATGGTGAAACCCTGTCTTTACTAAAAATACAAAAATTAGCTGGGCATGGTGGTGTGTGCCTGTAGTCCCAGCTGCTCAGGAGGCCAAGGCAGGAAGATTGCTTGAACCCAATTTTGAGGCAGAAGTTGCAGTGAGCTGAGATCATGCTGGGGCAACAGAGCAAGACTCCGTCTCAAAAAAAAAAAAAAGGAGATAAATCACCTGGTTTAACTGTGCATACTTTTGCATAGTGTGACTGCTAGTTACCGATTTAGTTTTTAGACTATACAGTATAAATATACAGTTTACAAATATACAGTATAAAGGGAAAATTATACATCTATTAAAACTGATTATATAAACTAATAGTATAACAGAATTTAGGAGGTAAAGGCCAGTAATGAGTTGGAAGGGAAGTACAAGGTTGGTCATTTCCTCAAGGTTAGGGAAATATATTTAAAATCAATGGATCAAAAATTATAACTTTAAACCAATGAAGAACTAAAACATAACCAAAAATGGTGAGAAGGAATGAAGTGAGATAAATTGCTTATCATTTCTAACACAAAACAACACATTTGGCTTAAATGGTAAGAAATAACAGGAAGAAATGTGCTACTATCTCTAAGAGGTGAAATTGGTGTGGATGGCAGGCAGAAACACTTGCACTTTTGTTTTCTATCCATCTGAATTGTTTAGAATTTTTATTCAGGTACATCCTCTAAATTAAAATTGTTTTTAATTCTAAAAAACATTAGAGGCTGGGCACAGTGGCTCATGCCTGTAAACGTATCACTTTGGGAGGCTGACGGGGGTGGATTGCTCGAGCCCAGGAATTTGAGACCAGCCTGGGCAATATAGTGAAACCCTGTCTCTATTTAAAGAAAGAAAAAAAAAAAAAAAAAAAGAAAGAAAAATTAAAGCTGGCAGGCTCTGAAAGGCTTAACAGTTAACATTACAGAAGGATCCCAAGAAATTATAAAAAGCAGGAATAAAAAAATATCAAAAAAATCTGAAGTAAAATGCCATTTAAAGGCATCTAAACTCATCCAACACTTCTGGTAAAGCAAAGTCAATAAAAGCAGTTTATAGCTATAACTCAGTGATTAGACAACAACAACAAAAAGATTAGAATTCTCTAAGATGGCAGAGGTTAACTATAAAACTATTCTCATCCAAAATAATATAGTAATATAGTAATACAGGCATGGCCTTTAAAGTATTTCAGATTCTGGAAAATTCAATTTCGGACAAATAAATGTTATTACATATATTGATGGATAATACATGATGGTCCAAAACCTTAACATCTTTGTTTAAAAAGAATATTAAAATAAGTGATCTTTAAAATTATAATTAATAGCATAAAACGAAGGTTATAATATTTTAATAAAATGTTTACATTTCTTGAACAGTTTATTCAATTCATACATGATATAGCAATAAAAGGAAGGAATCTGAAACAGCTTTCCTATAAAACATTCAGAAGTATTTTCCTTTGACTGTTTACTCATAAATTCTCATGGTATTCTTCTGAATTGTTACACAAGGTTTTAAAAAATGAAAATTTCATATAAAAATAGTTATCTAACAATGGGTTTTCAAATTAAATAATAAGTCTGTTTACCAATGTATATTGCATAGAAATAGTTTAAGTACTTTAATATTTAGAAAAAACATCAGGAAGTCAGTTTTTCAATGGCTGCCATATCTTAAAAGTTGGTAACTTAAAATCTATTTATAATTTTTAAATTATATATTCTGTAGATACAAAAGTTTAAAAAAATACATTTTGATTTAATACAAAAGCCTTCTACATTTACATTTTCAAACATTACTGTGATTGCTATAACATCGTATATATACTTAGCCAAAATAAGTTAATTTTTAAAAATCAATAACGTGTAGTATGCTGGCAAGACAATTTATTTAGAAACAAATGGGGATAATTATAAAGTCAATGTTATAAATGTACTACTACAAATAAATAATTAAAATAAAGCAGAATATAAAAACGCATAGAACAGGTGCAGAAATCACCAGTGCAGAAATCTGGGCACTTAATCCCTTAAGGAGTTAGAGGATTTCAAATTTAAAAGATGACTTTTCACAGGGGACATTGTGACTTTCTGTGAATAAAGAAAAGAATGTCTATGAATTCTACTCAGATGCTTCTATTTTTGTTCAAGTGTTTTTATGTAATTCCTCCTTTAATTTAAATGTTCTTTCCCTGAAAAAAAAATTTTAAGATAATAATTTTGGTCTCACGACATATATACTTTAAAAATACATGTAATTCTACAGTAACCCCTCCCCCATCCTAATACCTATATATACATGCATTTATATAAATATATACATAATTTCAGGATTATAAAAATATTTAATTTTTATGAGCTTAATTACTGAATGTTAATACAGAATACATTAGTATTTGTATAATTTCACTTTTATTTATAAAAAGATTTTCTTATAGCAGCATTTGCATTACAAATAAAATGTGATCAAAGGACGTTGCAGTGTACCAGGACCCCTACTGCAAATCAGACTGAGCAACTGTGATGTTCCTCTAAAAGAACATTTGGTGGCTCACACCTGTAATCCAACACTTTGGGAGGCCGAGGTGGGCTGATCACCTGAGGTCGGGAATTCTAGATCAGCCTGGCCAACATAGTGAAACTCCGTCTCTACTAAAAATACAATAATTAGCTGGGCATGGTGGTGGGTGCCTGTAATCACAACTACTTGGGAGGCTGTTGCAGGAGAATCATTTGAACAGAGGAGGCAGAAGTTGCAGTGAGCTGAGATCGCACCAGTACACCCCAGCCTGGGCAACACAGTGAGACTCCATCTCAAAAAAACAAACAAAAAAAATAGAACATCTGTCTCAGCTACAGAAGGGCTGTTTCCAGAAAGCACAAAAACCTTGAGGGGCTAATAACTTATCTGAACCTTCTAAGTGCATTTGAAAGTTATCTCCGGTGGCTCAAGCCTGTAATCCCAGCACTTTGGGAGGCCGAGGCCAGTGGATCACGAGGTCAAGAGATGGAGACCATCCTGGTCAACATGGTGAAACCCCGTCTCTACTAAAAATACAAAAAATTAGCTGGGCATGGTGGCGCGTGCCTGTAATCCCACCTACTCAGGAGGCTGAGACAGGAGAATTGCCTGAACCCAGGAGGCGGAGGTTGCAGTGAGCCGAGATCGCGCCATTGCACTCCAGCCTGGGTAACAAGAGCGAAACTCCGTCTCAAAAAAAAAAAAAGAAAAAGAAAAAGAAAGTTATCTCCATAGAGTTGGCAAGACAGTAAAATATCCCAAGAAGTCTAAGTTTTATTGATTCCCCAGAAGTTTTCCAATGAGATAAGTAAAAATTACATTAATGGTGCTTTGAATTGAATCATATAAACTTGTTAGAAATTAAAGATTTCAAGAGTAAAAAAATGAAAACATTGCTCTGGGTGGTATAAGAAAAGAAAGCAAGAAAGACAGATTTGAAACTAAGACATTACAAAAAAACAAAAATACCCTCAATCTCAAAAACTCATATTAAGCTTGTTTTTGTTTAGCTCACGTTCCAGATTTCCAATCAAAGTATCAATACTTTCTTGTAGATCTTTGAGATTGTCTTTTCGATCCACTGTAGACTCAATTGTCTCCATTGTCAAATATGTCTGACATGTACACTCTTTGGACATGGGAACTGGCTGTTCAGTCATTACTTCTGGCCCATCCATTTTGCTATAATTTTCTCCATTTTCTCTATCTTCTGAAGGGACATCATTATAATCCACATCATTTAAATTTTCTTTTGTATTTAAAAAGTAGTTTTCTCCACAGCTACTCCAGTCTCCTGCGTAACGATTGCTAAGTGGACTGTCTAATCGGTTCTGCCTTGGCCTAAGTACTCCTGATGAATCAGTACCACTCAAATTTAACATGAGAGGTCGTTCTTTCTTCTGCCTCAAATAATTCAGAGAAGACTTCTGCTCTGGGAGTAAACTGTCTGTTGATTTTTTGACATTTAAACGCTGCACTAGAAACAAACAATAATTTTGCTTTAGTGAATGTAATTCAACTGAACTTATTAAAAAAAGAGCTAAAGATAAGCCATTTAATCAACTATAAACATGCATTAAAACAAAAACATGCACTCTATCAAAAGAAAGCATTCCATAATTATTTTGTATTACCAGACATAAACTAGATTAAGAATAGAAGCAGTACAACGTTCCATGGTGCTAATTCATGCTACATCATAACGTTCCCAAACAAATCACATTTCCAATGTCAGTTAATTTTCTGTGCAAGTTTATTATTATCTAGCTATAATTCAAACAACAGCTAAGCTGGTAGCTTCTCCTAAATTAAAAGGTACAGCAAAAAGCAGGCAAGGCATGTTGGTGTACAAACAAAATATAACAAAAAGTTCCTTTGTCTGCAAACATCTAAGTGAGGCAAAGGCATCTAAAATGATCGGTCTAGAAGTTCTGACCCTTGTGGGCTTTTCTGCAATTCTATTAGCAGCAGAGTTATAGTTTACTTAGAGTCATAGTTTACTAAGCAGACCAAATTTCACTTTGATAAAATGTGCAAACACTAGATTTGACCACTTGTTACCTGAGTTTGATTATACAGCATTATCTACTATCTTCATTTATTGCCTGGAAATAGTACAGATATTTTATTTTCTGGTTAGTTATTTAACAATCCCAAATAACATTTTCCATATTAAGACGACTTTCTTCTGAGAGTATGCATTGTGCTAGCCATATAGATTACCATAGAGATACATATCACTTCATTACGAACCAAGGTTCTACTGCTTACCCTTGTGTATTGAACAGAATGAATGTATCTAAGGCTCTTCTGTATATAAAATAGACAATTTAAAATGCTGGCACATAGCTATTAAAGATTACCCACAATATCTTTCTCTTTCTGCTTGTTTATTCTCCATCAGCAAGTGCCTCTTCATCTCTGTTGCCTTTATCTTAGTGAAGTAAACTTTGGTAAACCTTCATTAAGATAAAAGCAACATAAATCAGTGACAACACATGAGCTTTATACTCTCCAACATATAATGAATGCTTGTTTGCTGAGGTATAAAATAAGACAACTGAAAAACTATAAAAACATATACATGGTTCTAGTTTTCCAGACTTAAATGATATTCAAAACATTTTTCAGAGATCCCATACTTTTGTTTGTTTGTTGGTTGGTTTGGTTTTTTTGTTGTTTTTGAGAGGGAGTTTCGCTCTTATTGCCCAGACTGGAGTGCAATGACACAATCTCAGCTCACTGAAACCTCCGCATTCTGGGTTCAAGCAATTCTCCTGCCTCAGCCTCCTGAGTAGCTGGGATTACAGGCGTGCACCACCATGCCTGGCTTATTTTGTATTTTTAGTAGAGACAGGGTTTGTCTATGTTGGTCAGGCTGGTCTTGAACTCCTGACTTCAGGTGATCTGCCTGCCTCGGCCTCCCATACTTTTTTAAACTTAGATTTTATTGAAATACTTGATAACTGTATATATGTATGTTTGTAACATTTCTATTGCATTTTTATGATAGTTATTACGTATCATTATAGATAGCCAATATTTCTTGATCTAAAATTTTCTAGAAAATAAAGGTTAGATATTTACTTTAAATTGATCTTTATTGTTAGTATTAATATAGAATGGGCCGTACCATCAACTGATGTAAGTGTAAAATGGGTATTTGAATTTTCCACTGTGTAATTATTCTTTTTCCTTCTCTAGCTGCTTATTACCACTATCTCCTTGCTTTTTCCCCCTCATTCTCTGTGCTATTCCTGTTCTTTTTAGTGCTTAACTGTCATGCCTATTGTTCTCACCAACCAGTTACAATATTCTGCTATCCTTGAGATTATCTGGTCCGATCTCACCATACATTTTCGCTCTGTGTCTTAAACTTGTCTTTACTGTGCCTGCATTTTCAGACATTTGCCTGCAAAATCCAGATTCATTTGCCAGTTGCTTACAGTTACTTACCTAAGACCCTACTGAAACATTATTTCTATATATTGTCTTGGAAATTATTTAAGAAACAAATTAAATTGATATTTTATATCTTTTAGACTAAAAATTCAAGTTCTGAGAAATGAACATCACTCACTTTTTAGACTACTGATGGTACAATGGTTTACTACTAAATTTAAAGTGAAAATGGCTAATTTTAACCTCAAAAGAAAAGTTCTGGTTTTCCCATCACTGTTGACTACCCGCCTTCCATAGAATACAATTAAAAATGCAGCCTATATAGTTGCTGAAAAAATATTCAAAATATAGTAAGTACTAAGAAACTTAATTTTTCCTTCTTTTGTTTTCTACCAATAGATTTGTTTCTAATCACCACTTTATTATCCTTTTATCTACAATTTAATTATCCTATTTAACAAAAATATACTGACTATCTAGTTAGTGCCAAATACTCTGCTAGGACCTGGCGATCTAAAGTTAAAAATAATCCCCAACCTCACCAAACTTAAGATCTGTAAGAAAGATGAAATGAAAAGAAATAAGAGGAAAATTGATATCTTTTCCAAAAAATTTGCCTCAAATGTATTTATCATAGAAAATGTATAGTGGCCAGGCGTGGTGGCTCACACCTGTAATCCCAGCAATTTGGGAGGCTGAAGCAGGCAGATCATTTGAGGTCAGGAGTTCGAGACCAGTCTGGCCAATATGGTGAAACCCCATCTCTACTAAAAATACAAAAGTTAGCCAGGCGCAGTGGTACACTCTCTAATCCCAGCTACTTGGGAGGTTGAGGTAGGAGAATCGCTTGAACCTGAAAGGCAAAGGTTGCAGTAAGCCAAGATCATGCCACTGCACTCCAACTTGGGCGACATTGAAAATCCATCTCAAAAAAAAAAAAAAAAAAGAAAAGAAAAGAAAGAAGAAGAAGAAAGAAAACATGGTATAGCAAGGATCTAGGAGTTACACTCTCTAAATTCATTTCTCCATCTTTAAGGTGATAGGGTGGTCAGCAGTAATTTTCAGTATTCTTAAAATAGAAAATGAATATCTAAAAGAAACATTTTTGTGAAAACAATACATAAAATGGATCAAAAGAAGGCTGTTCTGGTCAATGGTGAAGTGTATTTCCATTTTGTTCCCCCATCCCTCACTGATCTGGCTTCTAAGCTGCTTCCAAAGAACCCCAGATCTTAGTAGAAGAAAATCTAAAAAACTGTTGGCAGGATGATTTTTACCTTCTAATGTTGATATGCTAAAGTTCTAACTAATTATGCTGAAGATAGGATTTTTCAAATAGAAATCTCAAAGCAAATTATCTTCTTGCCCAAAATTAGAAAACAAAAAAATAACATAAAACAAAAAACTTAGAAAGTAAAAAGGAAGGGGCCAACTCTTTTTAACTCTGGAGTTGGAGAATTTACAAATGGAAAAATAAGATATGCATAACAAGGAAAGCTAAAACCTTCTATTGAATGCATGGAGATAGGATAGGCATTCACTGAGTTAATATGCTATGGACTACTAGTCTTTACCAAGTTCTCTATGTCACCATCAACTTTCTCAGGCCATGTAACTGCACCTCATCTACTTGATTTTTGCCTTTTCCATGAATTCAACATCAGGTGATTTAGAGGGTAAAACTTGTTTCTTCTCATCCTTCTGCCCTATTCTTTGTCTGAGGTACTACAACTAAGGAAAAATAACAGGTTATAGAAAAGGGAGCAGTTATTTTTAAAACCAGCAACACAAATCTTTGGAATAAGATGCTGTACACTAGGAACAGCTGTTTAAGGCTGTCTTTAGAATACAGTGAATTTGAAATCTGAACCTGCTTTTTCTATAACACAAGATATATGTTAAATTTCTTCTCCCAAACCCAAAACTAAGGTGGCTATTATTACAAACTAATAAAATGACCTTAACCTCTGGCACAGAATTAGTAACAAACTCAGCACTGACAGTAAACTTAATGGTATCTCCAAAGAAGCAAGTTTTCATTTGTGGTAATGACAAGATGGCTTTCTCCCAAATTCCTGGTGTTTATTAGAATTAAAGCTGTTTTAGAAAAAGGAAACACAGTTAACACTCTGAAAGATCCCTTACATTGGGCATCAAATGCTGAAATTAGCCCAGTTACCCAGAGAACCTTGATTCAGGATTTAAAAATAGTTAAAATAACATTCTAATTCAGTTAAAATATAAATTAGAATAATTTTTAAGCCTGCATTTAAAAGTAAAAGCTTTAGCTTTCCAAATTTAAACATTGAACATTTTTATTAACTTTATTTTTAATTCACTTTATAATGATGAAATCAAGCATTCCCTTGTACTTGTAATCTTTCTGTCTTAAAGGAGTAACAGAAGATGTTGATTGAGTGCTCACTTTGTGCTAAACACTTTTAGGTGCTTCATCTCAATCTTTACAACAACCCTGAGGCAGGCATTATTTAGAGAGAAGCAAACTGGGAGGTGAAGAGGTTAAAGTTTTTGCCAGAGCCCACCCTGCTGGCAAGTGCTAGCATTCATATCTGAACTCAAGCCTGACCCCAGGGCCAAGCACTGTTACTAGTGTGCTCTACACTAAGCACCAGAGTACTTCACACTTGGTCCCATGTAGTGTGGGGTGAGGGTAGCAAGGGTTACTAAAAGCTAAGACAATTTTGGAATTTAAATGAAAGGTCCTTACAGAACATCTAATTAAACACATTTCTTTTAGCTCTGAAACTATATAAGAGGTAATGAGGAAAATAACTGTCAGTTTTTAGTTATTGATTGGAATAAGAATTGGATAAGAAAGACAAAAAGGCCAAAGATAATTCCCAATTCAAGCTGAGATAATTTGATGAATGACCATGAATGCAGTAAAGATGTAAAGTAGAACTGATTTAAGGAGAAAAATGAATTCTGCTTTATACAGTTAAACTAAAAATGAGAAGAGCAAATTAGTATTTATTGAGTATTTATTATGTGTCAAGAGCTATGCTGAGCACCTTACATACACAATTTTTAAAAAATCCTAATATAAAATCTATAAACATATTATTAAATCCATATGAAAAAAAGACAATACAAGGCTCTAAGACCTTAAGAAACCAGTCCAAGGTCGGATTGCTAGTAAGTGGCACAACCAGGATTCAAATCTAGATCTGATCAGATCTAAAATGTACACATTGATCTACATTCCTACAATGTAATCAGCAAAGGCAGAAAACACTTAAATGAAAAAACTAAAGGATAGGTATCAATTCACAACATTTTGAAAAAGCAAAATGTAGAAGAGTTTCTTCAATCATATATGGGCATATGTAATGATTAGTTAATTCAAATACACTATCATTGAAAGCAAAAAAATATTTCCATAGAATCATTTACCTGGCCAAAGTTGGAGTAAGTAATGAAGAACTTCAATGTGTTTTTTAAAATCCAAAGCACTTGCAAGTTCTTCTGAATCAGTAAAGACTCTGTTGTTATGGGTGGAAGGCTCTTGCTTCTGACTTAATAATACTGGTCCAAAGCATACAGCCAAATTCTGGCACGTCATCTTATTCACTTCATGATAAGAAGCCACCAATTTCAAATGATCCAACAACATCTTTAGGGTTGCCTAAATTAAATTTCAATTAATATAGTCTTAAAGGGGCAAATTCAAGGACACAATTTATAGCAGACAATACAGAGAAGCATCCCGTCACTTATTTTTTTTATTTTTTTTTTATTTTTTAAAGCAGAGTTTTGCTCTTTTTGCCCAGGCTGAAGTGCGATGGCACAATTTTGGCTCACTGCAACCTCTACCTCCTGGGTTCAAGTGATTCTTCTGCCTCAGCCTCCCAAGTAGCTGGGATTACAGGTGTGCACCACCATGCCCAGCTATTTTTGTATTTTTAGTAGAGACAGGGTTTCTCTATGTTGGTCAGGCTGGTCTCGAACTCCCAACCTCAGGTGATCCGCCCACCTCAGCCTCCCAAAGTGCTGGGATTACAGGCATGAGCCACTGTGCCCAACTTTAAAAAGACTTTTTAAAAAAGATTTGCTTATAAGTTGGATGTTTGGAATCTGGAACATAGTTTCTAATAGAAACATTATATGGGGCCTAAATCATGTTCTGGCCAGAGGAGGTGGCTCACACCTGTATCCTAGCAGTTTGGGAGTCTGAGGTGTGTGGATCACCTGAGGTCAGGAGTTCAAGACCAGCCTGGCCAACATGGTGAAACCCTGTCTCCATTAAAATACAAAAATTAGCTGGGCAGGATGGGGGGTGCCCGTAATCCCAGCTACTTGGAAGGCTAAGCTGGGAGAATCACTTGGACCCAGGAGATGGAAGTTGCAGTGAGCTGAGATCGCACTACTGCACTCCAGCCTGGGTGGCTGAGAGAGACTCTGTCTCAAAAAAAAAAATTATGTTATATGGTTAAACTATACATTCTTTATAAAATACTTATGAATGCATTCCAAATTTCAGCTGGAATCCCTGGGAAAATGTATCCATTAACTACTTCTCTTCTAAAATGGCAACAGCAAAGGCTGTGATGTAAAGGGGATTAGGGAAAGAATGTTCATTTTTAAGTACAGATGAGTCCTATAGTTGTAAGTTGTAATCACTATCATGCTTAAATCTAGGAAGCTAACCATTTGAGAATATGGCCAGGTTCTATAATGATTTGGATTATGAAATATATTTTTAAAAGACTAATATGCTTCTTAACTAATAAATATTTTAAAGAGAAAAACCTTAGAAGGAAGAATAGTACAGTTAGAAATAAAAGAAAAAAATTACTAAGAAAATATTTTTTAATCTTTAAAGAAATTAGTAAGGGGAGTTGGCTCAAAAAGTGGAATAGTTATTTAGGTTTAAACAATTATGAATGGAAATGATGTTTTTTGACATAGTGGCATATGATTAATCATTTAACAAAATGAGTGTGTAATTCTTCAAAATTGTATTAAAGGCATCAATGCCAATGAAAAACTGTAATTTAATTTAATTTTTTTTTTTTTTAAACAGACTCTCATTCTGTTGCCCAGGCTGAGATGCAGTGGCATGATCACAGCTCACTGCAGCATCGACCTTCCCAGCTCAAGCGATCGTCCCACCTTAGCCTCCCAAGTAGCTGGTGCTACAGGCGTATAACGCTGCATCCACTAATTAAAAAAAAAAAAAAAAATTTGTAGGCCAGGAGTGGTGGCTCGCACCTGTAATTCCAGCACTTTGGGAGGCCGAAGCAGGTGAATCATCTGACTTCAGGAGTTTGAGACCAGCCTGGTCAACATGGTGAAACTCCATCTCTACTTAAAATTCAAAAAAATAGCTGGGGGTAGTGGTGCATGCTTGTAGTCCCAGCTAATCAGGAGGTTGAGGTGGGAGGATTGCTTGTCCTGGCAGGCAGAAGTTGCAGTGAGCTGAGATCGCACCACTATACTCCAGCCTGGGCAACAGAGTGAGACTCAGTCTCAAAAAAAAAAATTTTTTTTTTTTGTAGAGACAGGGTCTTGCTACGTTGCCTAAGCTGGTAAAAAATCTTATTTAAAGAAAAATGACATTATCTCTGGAGCCAAAAGTGACAAATGGATTGGTGATCAGAAGGACATTTAGTAACTGTGGCAAGAACAAGTCGAGAGAGATGAGGTAGGAAGCCAGATTAAAATGTGCTGAGTAGCAAATGAGTGGTGAAGAAGCAATAACAGCCAGAATAAATAGCCTTTCAATGTTTGGCTGTGAAGGGAAGGAATGAAGAGATAATGAAAGCTAGAGAAGAATATGGCATTTTAAATGAAAACAAGCCAAATATATGTATCATATATTTTTTTAAATTCGTAATTATTTCCTAACACAAGTGGAACTCCATATACATTGGACTGTTAAGGGTATTTCCAGCATGTAATTGTGACCATACACACAGAGACACAAACACCACACTACACCTGGTTAAATATATGTTCAATCTCAATAGCAAGCAAAGGAAAGCAAATTTTTTACGAGCCAAAAAATGTATTTGTCATGTTCCTTTTGAAAATTAGTCTGGCTGGGCATGGTGGCTCATGCCTACAATCCCAGCACTTTGGGAGGTCAAAATGGGTGGATTGCTTGAGCTCAGGAGTTCAAGACTAGCCTGGGCAACATGGTGAAAACCAGTTTCAACAAAACATACCAAAAAAACCTCTGGGCTTAAGCAATCTTCCTGCCTCACCATACTTAGGGTGGGTGAGGCAGGAGGATTGCTTAAGCCTAGAGGTTGAGGCTGCAGTGAGCTCTGTTTGTACCACCGCACTCCAGCCTGAGCTCAAAAACAATAAAAAAAAAAAAGAAAAGAAACAAAATTAGCATGAAAACATATAAGGAGGCCAGGCACGGTGGCTCATGCCTGTAATCTCAGCACTTTGGGAGGACAAGGTGGGTGGTTCACGAGGTCAGGAGTTTGAGACCAGCCTAATCAACATGGTGAAACCCCATCTCTACTAAAAATACAAAAATGAGCCAGGCATGGTGACGTGTATCTATAGTCTCAGCTACTCAGGAGGCTGAGGCAGGAGAATCGCTTGAACCCAGGAGGTGGAGGTTGCAGTGAGCCGGTACCATACCACTGCACTCCAGCCTGGGTGACAGAGTGAGACTTCATCTCAAAAAAAAAAAAAAAAAAAAGAGAGAGAACACATAAGGGCCTTAAAATGTTCATATTACTTAAATAAGCAATTTTATTTCTGAGATTCTATTCTAAATAATTCTAAACTAAAATCTGTGTATAAATTTTTGAAAATCTAAATATCATACAAAAGAGAATACTGATAAATTACGTTGTCAAATCCACTAAATAGTGTATCACTCAGTTATTGACTGATTGGATTAATTGACTGATTGACACAAGATCTGGCTCTATCACTCAGACTAGAGTACAGTGGCATGATCTTGGTTCACTGTAGCCTCGACCTCCCTGAGTTCAAGCCATCCTCCCACCTCAGCTTCCCAAGTAGCTGTGACCACAGGTATGTGCCACCATGCCTGGCTAATTTTTGTAGGGACAGGGTTTCGCCATGTTACCCAGGCTTATTCAGTCCTTTTAGAGAAGATGGTAACAGCATGGGCCTTAGGGTCAGAAAGACCTAAATTCATGTGCTACACTATAATCACAAAAGGTATGTAACTTTCAGCAAGTGAGTTAAATTCCCTAACACTCATTTCTTCACTTATAAGTGACACTTATAATTTTACCTAGTGCTAGGCAGGGTAAAATTCCAGCACTTTGGGAGGCCAAGACGGGCAGATCACCTCAAGTGAGGAGTTTAAGGCCATCCTGGCCAACATGGTGAAACCCTGTCTCTACTAAAAATACAAAAATAAGTTGGGCATGGTGGTGCCCACCTGTAGTCCCAGCTACTCAGGAGGCTGAGATAGGAGCATCGCTTGAACCTCTACAGATAGAGGTTGCAGTGAGCCGAGATTGCGACACTGCACTCTAGCCTGGGCAACAGAGTGAGACTCCCATCTTCAATAAAGTAAAATAAAATTTACCTACTGCCAGGAAACCAGTATCTCTACTTTTCTACCCACCCCCTTAAACTTCATCCCACCCTTCTGCTTCTGCACTCTTTAGCTGTTCCCTTCCCCTAATCCAAAGGAGGAGTAATTGTTAATCCAACTGGACAGAGCCCAGGACACTCAGGGGACCACCGTAAACTCGCAAATAAAGTTACTGGACTTACAGTTTCTACTCACTAATTCTTGCACTTTCTGCCCCCACATGACAAAAATGTAGGCAAATTTGGCCTCATCTAGACAAGCCCAGCCATCTGTCTCTTATTTTCCCTTCTGTTCTAAGGAACAACAAATAAAGTTAGGCTAAGGCTAGTTCTGAAGACCTACCTATCCTTCTCTCTCTATCCTACAGGCATGCCTGAGGATGCTGGTCTGAAGATTTTGGAGCGCAGCAGAATAGAAAGGGTAAGGAGGAAAAAATGAGGGGTAGGGCTGTTGTTTGTCTTAAAGCTAAGCCATGTACACCATAACAGTTATACCTAAAAAATACTAAAAGGAGACACACCAAAATGTTAATTATAGCTGCCTTTGGATATTGATGACTGCAATTTTACATTCTTCTTTTCTGTATCTTTTCAATATTTCTATAATGAACAAATTTTATTGTAATAATATTTTAACAATACAATCAAAAAAACTTTAGTCAGTATTTACTCATCCTTAGGCTAAAATTACATACAGAAAAGATAATAAAACTGTTTTCTAGATTTATTCTGTTTAAGAAGCTTTTACAGATTTAGGCTGTTTAAAAGCAGTAATGGCGGAGCTTTTAAATCCATGAGTGCCACAAATATCAAATATCTAAAATTATCTGTAGCTCTGGAGCTAGGTATATAGTTCATTAACTGGCTTTCAGGAAAAATGTATAATGGTAATACTTACCTTCTCAATCTCAGGGAGACAATCCAGCAGGTCAACAGTGTACCTGGAGTCACTTGGGTCATTCTCACAACCATTCGATGACATTTTCAAAGGACTTTTTACCATTGCATCTAATACAGCCTCATAAAGCTGCTTTGTTATCAGAGGAGAAGGAAGTTCTCTTAAATAATCCTTAAGAACACCTTTAGAAAACAAACAAATTGCAGACAGCTGGTGATTAGACTGCAGAGTGAAATAAAGAACTATGGTCAATTTTTTTTTTAAGTATTATAGCTAACTTTCAATATTTTTAAAATAATAAAAGCAATAACATAAAAAGAATTATAATAAAATATTAGCATTTGTATCCTTTTAAGTTGCCTTGGTAATTGACTTGTTTTGAAAGCATGCTAAAAATGAAACCAATTTTCAGTTACCATACATATTAGGTTTATTAATCATAAACTATTCTTGATACACATACCCTTATTGATTCTGCCCCCTATGAAAAGCTTCTCTAAATGCATGTGAAACAAATTAAGCAAGACATATTTATGTTAATTATAAATTATTCCAATTACACAAATTTTGAGTTTCTAGACTTTAAATTGATAATGAAAAAGTACCAGTTGTCCGAAACCCTTGAAAATAAATACATTTCCTCTTTAACAGTTGAGAAGTATCTTAAACAGATATAACTGGATGGCTGGATAATCTCTAATGCTACACTATCATATGGAAGAAAAAGTCATTCCTAAAGCCCAACAAATAAAACCAAAAGCTAAGAACAGAAAATATCCGATTTGTCACTATAATGGGAATGAGGACAGTCAATTGCAAACATACCACACATAGTTTTGAACTAATATATCACCTATAGTAGAGGAAACTGGAAAGAATAGTGGTTGTTATATATAAGCAAAGTAGGTAAGATACTAGCTAAAGGCTGGCATGTGATCACAAGGGAAAACAGGAGATATTCCTAACAGCAAAAACCTAAATATATGCAATATTGAATCAGAACAAGCTCTCAGCCTGAGAACTCAGTTTGAAAGCTTAGTTTGAACTTAACCATGATTCTATAGTAAGTTTCCTATTTCATTTTTTTAAAAATTGTGACAGGTTCTCATTCTATCACCCAGGCTGGAGTACACTGGTAACCTCGAACTCCTAGGCTCGAGCAATCCTCCCACCTCAGCCTACTAAGTAGCTAGGACTACAAGTGGCTGCCACCACACCTGGCTAATTTTCTTATTTTTTGTAGCTCAGGGTCACATTATACTTCCCAGGTTAGTCTTGAATTGCTGGTGTCAAGTGATCCTCCTACATCATTCTCCCAGAGTACTTGACATGAGCCACTGTGCCTGGCCCCAAGTTTTAAATATTTAATAGTAACATGGTTCATTAGTTTCTTATGTATCCTCCTAGTGTTTGTTTATGCAAATATAAATATGATTTGTCTCCCTCACTGAGGGTTGAGTATCCTTAGTCTGAACATCCAAAATACTCTTAAAATCCAAAACTTTTAAAATGCCAACATGCTCATTAGAGCATTCTGGATTTTTGATTTTTGAATTAGGGATGCTAAACTGGTAAGCATAATGCAAATATTTCAAAACCAAAAGAAATCAGAAATAGGAAACCTACATATGCTGTTTTGTTTCTTGCTTTTTCATTTAACATCATATCCTTGAGATCTTTTCAGGACATAGAGAGCTTCCTCAATCATTTTTAAAGACACATTATAGTAGTTCAACGTAAGGACATCCCATAGTCTTAACTATTCAGTCTCTTACAGATGGATACTAGAATTGTTTCGTATCTTTTGTTTTTCCAAAACATGATACAATTAATAACCTTGCACATCATCACTTTGCATGTTTGCACGTATGTACGTAGGGTAACTTCTTGAAACAGGACTGCTAAAATTGCAAAAATGCATTTGCAATTTTGAGGAAAAAGGAGGAATAAGAATGTGTCTTTCCTAGGCTTGGAACTTGATCATCTAGGTGGATACTAGTCATATTACTTCAAATAGAGAACACAGGAAGAAAACCATGTTTTAGGGGTTAAACAAGAGTTTCATTTTCAACATACAGAGCTTAAGGTATCTGTGGGACATTCAAGGCTGCTGGATATAAAAATCTGAGGCTCAGGAAAGAGATAATTTAAGAATGATCAACTTAAAGATAACTGGGTACTTGGGAATGATTATCAGGGAAGCATACAGAGTGATTAACAGAAGGCTTAGAAAAGAACCCTGAAGAACATCACCTTTCCAGGGGTCATCAGGAAAGGATCTTCCAATCGTGACTATGAAAGAATGGCAAAAGATACATGTACAGTAAGAGGAAGCAGGGACGGGGTGAGAGGAGAGTGGTAAAAGTGCTGCCAAGGAAGTCGAGGAAAAAATGTTTCAAGAAAGAGTCTATGGTATCTAATGATACCCAAAAAATAATTGGGTTAGACGGTGTTTTTCAAAATTGCCTGCACCAATGTGAGTTAAAAAAAAATTAGATTCTGGAGACCCATACCAGCCCTACTAAATCATAATTCACAGGGGCCAGAGCTCCTGTCCTTGTATTTTAAACAAATTATTCTTGTGATTAAGCAATAGGGTTTTGTAGCCAGGCACAGAAAATAATGAACTAGAGACAATTTAAAATAAGAATCTAAAAATGTCCACCAGAAAAGGAAATCAGCAACCTTGGCAAGCAGTTTCAGGAAAATAAAGGACACTGAAGTCAGGTTGCAGTTGGTTAGGAAGTAAATGGACATTAAAGAAATAGACAAAGAAATGCACACAACTTGATCAAGAAATCTGGCTTTAAGAGAAGTTCATAACCATAAAGGAGAGGGGAAGGCAGGGGAGAAATGGGATCAAAGTGGAGATTTTTCTTTAAAGACAAGAGACACTTAAACATTTAAATGCTAATGTAAAGGAGAGAGTAAAAAGGTTTTCGAGGTTCAGGAGAGAGGAAATACAATCAGTTGAGCAAAGTCCTTAAGAAGAAAGAAGAGACTTCTGAGAACACATGAAGGAATTAGAATTTGTCCAAGATGTAATGAAGATCATTTCTTTTTTTTTTTTTTTTTTTTTTTTGAGACGGAGCTTCGTTCTTGTTACCCAGGCTGGAGTGCAATGGCACGATCTCGGCTCACTGCAACCTCCGCCTCCTGGGTTCAGGCAATTCTCCTGCCTCAGCCTCCTGAGTAGCTGGGATTACAGGCACGCGCCACCGTGCCCAGCTAATTTTTGTATTTTTAGTAGAGACGGGGTTTCACCATGTTGACCAGGATGGTCTCGATCTCTCGACCTCGTGATCCACTCGCCTCGGCCTCCCAAAGTGCTAGGATTACAGGCTTGAGCCACCGCGCCCGGCCGATCATTTCTTTTTTATTAAAGAAAGGAAGTGGAATGAATATAAGCCAGAGAAGGCATATTGGCAGGCTGGATCACAAAAAGTAGAGCAAGTTCCCATCTGATGGCTTCTGTTTGCTCTGTGCTGTTAACAGGCAAGTGTGTCTGCTAAGAATGACATGGGTAAAATGAGGTTTGAGGGGAGTGAGAAGATATTAAATAGACACTCCAGAGAATAAGAGAGAGAGACAGCTGATAAAACATACAATGATTATCAGGCACCATTCAGAACCTTCTAATGACTTTGAAGTCCATGGATTAATACTGGTACCAAATAATATCGATTTTTTTTTTTCTCATTGCAATCAGTAACCCATATACAGGCTAGAAAAGCAGAGCAGTGTTTCTAAGCAAGATGGAGCAATAGGGACTACATTTACCTTCCTGCTGGCAACAACTGAAAATGCCAGACAAAATATCTGACAAAACTATGTCTCCAAGACATTGGATATCAGACAAAGGAAGGGGATGCCTGAGAGATGTGAACCGAAAAGTGTGCCCGCAATGACCCCAGCTTACTGCCTGAAGAGACTTTGCAGATTGCAGTAAGAAAATGAAAACCCTTAGCTTTTTCTACAGCTGAAGGGGAGTTAGAAATTCAAAGAGGCTAAAGCAGCTAGAGCTTGCAGGACGGAGCACTTGAGAGCAGCGGGCTGCCTAGAGACGACTCTGGAAATCAGCAGAGTCCCAAGTGTTCATCTGAGTACTAATAAGCACACGCAGGTGGGGCAACTTCCCAAGACTGTAGAAAGAACCAGCCAAACAGATTAGAGAGAACAATTCTGGTAGATTGCATAGTGTGGGCAATCACTCCTGTTCCAAGCAGCCAGAGTGGAAAACTTCATAATTCAGGGGATTTGGGTACAGCACAGTGTTGAATTGTGCCCTCCCCCCATCAAAAACAAAACAAAACATGTTGAAGTCTGAACTCCCAGTACCTCAGAATATGACCTTATTTGGAAAGAGTCTTTACAGAGGCAATCAAGTTAAATGAAGTCATTAGGGTGGGCCCTACTACAAAATAACATGTCCTTATAAAATGCGGGACACAGAGAAAGACATACAGAAAGTAGATGATATGAAGAAACACAAGGTGAATGCCAGGTTTAGATGGAGGATTGTAGTCATGCATCTACAGACAAAGAAAGGGCTGTCACAGGTTGCCAGCAAACCACCAGAACTAGGAAGATGCAAGGAAGGATTCCCCTGCAGGTATCAGAGGGAGCAGGGCCCCTATGCTTTGATTCTGAACTTCTAGCCTCCAGAACTGTGAGAAAATAAGTTTCTGTTGTTTTAGCCACCAAGTTTGTGGTACTTTGTTATGGCAGTCATAGAAAGCTAATATAAGTACACAGCATATAGAAGAGTTTTGCTTCAGTAGTGAATCAAAGAAATAGACAAAGAAGAGCCTTATTTAAAAGCAGTTCACATTCTGCCTAATAAAGCTTAGAAGCAAGACTAAAAACTCTTGCAAGTAATGTACTTGCATACCAAACCACAGCTATAAATATAGAAATACAGAAATATCCAGCACCCAAGAAGGTAAAGCTCACATTTGATGTCCAGTAAAAAATTACCAGACATATAAAGGAGACAAATATAACCCATAATGAGGAGTAAAATCAATTGAAACCAACCCAGAAAAGACATACACAATAGAATTAGTAGACAAGGACATGAAAACACTTACTATAACTGTATTTCATATGTTCAAGATGCTAGAATAAAGACAAAACATATTTAACAGATACATGGAAAGTACTGAAAAAACAAACCCATATCAAACTTCTAATAGTGAAAACTAGGATGTCTGAAACTAAAAATGCAATGAATGAAAATAGAATCAGAAGACAAGACTAATATAACTTGAAGATACAGCAATAGAAATAATCTAAAATGAAACAAGTAGGAAAAAAACTGAAGAAAAAAATTATCAGTGATCTGTCCCATAACTTAAAGTGGCTGAATACATGCTTAATTGCAATCTTCAAAGGCAAAGTAGTGTCAGTGGGTAGGAGGGGTGGAAACAGAAACAGTTGGAAGAAAAAAACAGAGAAAAGCCACAATTATAATTGAAGACTTCAACATTCCTTTTATCGAGTAAAAAGGAAACAAAGATGTAGAAGACTGGGACATTATTAATTAACTTGACTTTATTGATAGTTACGGCACAGTCCAGCCAAAACCACCAGAATACACATTCTTTTCAAGAGCTGAAATGGAACATTCACCACAAAGGACCATATTCTGGGCTTTAAAACAAGCCTAAATAAATACAAAAGCATTTAGGACCTATGAACCGGAAGACTGAATATGCACATACACAAACATGAGAATCATTCTCTCACATATAAAACTTATATAGATAGTAAACATACAGTTAATTAGGTAGATGTGAATGCTGAATCACTTACATTTCCTGAAGGTAGAGCTACAAATTAATTTTTTTAATCCAGTAACCTACCCCCACCTTACCTCACTTAACTCTTTCAGGCCTTACCACCTACTTTACTCATACCCTATACATGTTACTCAGACCAAATGGCTCTCATAAACAGTCTCAGTATATGTGGGTTGCTAAGTCTATGACCATTCCTGTGTTTGCATTCCTTGGTGCTTACACAGTTTTGACATCTATATGCAATCCAGGTGAAGGAAAACAGAAACAGTTTGTAAGTTAATGTGTCAGAGGTGAGAGAACATATAATAATATGTATGATAAGAAAATGTATAGTATGTATAAAAAAGAAAAAATTAATGTTTTAAAGATCATTTACTTATATTCTGATCAAATTTTCCCTGAAAGGCAGATAGGATAAAAATTACTATGTGGGATTAAAATCAGAAAAAGCCATGGTCAAATGAACTTTCAGATACTGGACCTAGATACAGATTATGTAGCACTAACATGAAATTTATTTTATAGTAGCTAGATGCATGTAATCCTCCTCAGAAGACTTATTTTTAATAATTACTAAATGATAAATATTTGACTTTTAAAAAGTCTTCTCTGTTCTTTGGTAATAAGCCCTATAAAAAATTATGAATAGGTGGGTGTGGTGGCTCATGCCTGTAATCCCAGCACTTTAAAAGGCTGCAGTGGGAGGCTCTCCTGAGCTCAGGAGTTCAAGACCCACCCTGGGCAACACGGTGAAACACTGTCTTTACTAAAATATAAAAAATTAGCTGGGCACGGTGGCACACACCTGTAGTCCCAGCTACTCAGGAGGCTGTGGCACAAGAATCACTTGAGCCCCAGAGGTGGAGGTTGCACCACTGCACTCCAGCTTGGGCTACAGAGTGAGACTAACCTCTCAAAAAACAAACAAACCAATATAAAAGAATTATGAATGAACTTCATACCTAAAATTTTGTATTTGAGTTTTTAAAAACTGGTTTGTCTGGAGTATTTCATTCTATGCTCCAGACAAATCAACTACTAAAAACACATTGAACTGTGAACAAAATCTCTCACTTGCTTCATTAATTTCTCATTTTTTAGACCTACTGAACTATTAATTCTATTTCAAAGTTTACTCAGAAATGTGAGTTCATGAGGAACAAACATGTGAGGCAATACTGTCATTTGCCAACTCCTCAAATCAACAATACCCTTTATTTTGAGTCATGATAACCCTGTGTCATGCAATTCCAATGACATTTTGAAAATAAATCTTAAATCATTTTATTCGCTTTATCAAGAAAACAAATACCTCTAAAATTCTTCTGAAAAACAGCTTTACCCAAATGGAATAAGTACAAAGACTAGAGCCAAAAAAAAATCCAATTTATAAATTACAGAAAGTCTCAATTTTAAATCCAATATTCACTGACCTATTGTTCCTATATTCTGCATATGTTGTCAATTTCCAGAACTAGGAACCCTTTCTTCATTTCATCTTTTAAAATTATACATGTTTAATATAATTTTTATCTATAGGACAAAGCTTCACCAATATGATATCTATTTTTATTTATAGAGTGTACTTTCCTGGAATTTTGTAATTATAAAACTTTTCTTTCATGGATTCATAAAATGAGTCTTTTGCTGATTGGTTAATTACACATTAACAAGTAAAGAACATTCCATTTTTTTTTCAGGTATCTTAATTTTTTGTAGAAATACACCTCTTCCTTTATAAAAATTAAAAGGAACCATTATTATTATTTTGAGACGGAGTCTCTGTTGCTCAGGCTAGAGTGTGTTGCGCGACTTTGGCTCACTGCAACCTCCCTTTCCTGGGTTCAGGCAATTCTTCTGCCTCAGCCTCCTGAGTAGCTGGGACTATAGGCATGTGCCACCACACCCGGCTAATTTTTTGTGTGTTTTTAGTAGAGACAGGGTTTCACCATTTGGCCAGACTGGTCTCAAACTCCTGACCTCATGATCCGCCCACCTCAGCCTCCCAAAGTGCTGGGATTACAGGCCTGAGCCACAGCGCCCAGCCAGGAACCATTATTTCTGATTGCTAAAATATATAAGAAGAAAAGTGACTGTTTTATCTTAGTATTAAAATGCTTGGAATCAAAGTTTTGGTTATCCAAGAATTACATATTAAATACTCTATGAAAATACAGTCATTCAGCACTGTATTTTCATAGAGTATTTAATATGTAAGGGTGGCAACCTCAATTATTCAGAAAGCCTCAATCCTAAAAGTAAGCTTTAAAGATTTCCACCAACAAAATTCTCTTCTTAAATATGTACAAGATGAACATTCCTCAAATTTTCACCCAAACAACTAACTCTGAGTAAAAAGAAGAAAGCAAGCTGTAAGAGAAAAATAAACCCATTATAGCAAGAAAAAAAAATGGCAACTGTCAGTAAAGAGGAGAAAGAACTATCAAAATACACAGAAGATCTGGAGATACACACTGAAGCATCTATAAATTAAAGGATACATCTGAGATTTTCTCAAAATAATTCAGGGCTGAGAAGAATCAAATGCTGGGATGAATGAGACAAGTCTGTTCATGTGTTGATATTATGCAAATCAGGCAATAAACAGAGGATTTATCACAGTATTCCACTTTTGCATATGCTTGAAAACTTCAATATTAATAAATGTAAAACAACAAAAACAAATATGGAATTATTATAAACCAGTTGCTCCTGAAGATTACCAATAAGTTTATGAGCCAATTCTTAATGTCCAAATTCAAAGGCCCTTTTCTTTTCTCATCTTATATAATCTCTCCATAGAATGACTGCATCACATCTTTGCTTAATCTCTGTTAAGCAAAAAAAAAAAAAATCTGTCTCTTATTTCCCAAACTTTCTGACTCCTTTCCTCTCAATCTCTTTAGGTGTTCTTTCTTTGCCTGCCTCCAAAGTTTGAAGACCCCTAAAATTCTTGTCTTTTCAAACTTTATGGACAATTTCAAGGCTTTAACTGCACATATATGCCAATGACCTTCTTTCCACTCCCATCTTTCAGGGGTAATAGAAGTATATTTCCAATACCATACACTGAATTATAATCACCACTTAGGTAAATAAGAGATTCCGCAAATTCTACTGCATCCTCTTCTTAGCTGCAGATGAGTAGTTTCAACTTTGCTTGATCTGCCCATTTAGATATCCTACTAGCACTTCAAATTCTATATATCCAAAACCCAACTCATAAACTTTCTCCAGTCCCACCAAAAGCCCAAAAGCCACAGCTCTCTTTGAAACTATCTTATTTCTGCTAATGGTACCAAATCAACCAGGTCTCAAAGTCACATCTGTCTGGGCTTCCTCCTTCTTCACCTCCTTTCAATTCTACTCTTTCCTATTTCTACTGCTACAAGCCCCTTTAGCTCTTACTACCTCTTTGCTTGGACTACTGCCAAGGCTTTCTAATTAGTTTTCCTTCCTCTGGTCTCTTCCAATTCCAACCATCACATAGAGTTGCCAGATTAATATTCCTGAAAACAATCTCTAATGATATCACTCCCCTACTCAAAAAAATTTTAATGGATCCCCTCTGGCTAGTAAATACATTTAAATTCTCTAACCAGATAGTCAATACCCTCTATATCACCTAAGCACCAGTCAAACTCAACTCCCAAGGCATTTTATTTATCCCTCTATGAAGGTACCTTTTTCTTTCTGCTAGCTAGTATAGCTAATTTAAAGTAGGTCTTACTTCCCTTCATCATGTCAGCTGTTGAGGGCAAGGGACCATAGCTTAATACCTTCCCATATAAAACAACACAGTAAGTAATGTTTGTGAAGGAAGAAAAGACTTCAGAATAAAAACAAATTAAATTTCTGCTACTAACATAGTTCAGTTATCATTCTGGCAGATGTAGTCTTTCCAGAATGAGTACATAAAATAAAATCTATTTATTACCTGTTATTACATTTATATCTGGGTACTGGTTTTCACACAGACCAACAGCTTTGCTATCTCTCTCAAAAGCATCTCGAAGTTCTTTCTTGACTGCTGCCGAACCACATAATCGATACAGGCCTACTACCTAGGAATAAAATTATGGCCACATTATAGTAAATTCGATAAAGGGAAAATATAAGTACATTATAAATCACATGAACATTGCAATCAAATATGTTCTGATGGGATTTAATTTAAAATACCTCAAATATACATTTTAAAATCTCATTATGCACTATGTTGACTAGTTTAATAAAAATATATCCTATTCTTTTATTTAAATTCAAACAATACACTATGAGTTAGGTAATGCTGGCTACCTATCTTAAGCAAAACACAATCCCTTCTTTTCAGTTTTATATCCCCAATCAAGATCACCACACCCCAACAGTGTGTGCCCTTTCACATCTTTTGTTCTAGACTGAAGTAGTACAGCACAGACACTGAACAAGGATTTTGGAGTCATAAAGCCCTGCTCCTTGCTTCATGAATTTGGGCAAGTTATTTAATCTCTTTAAAACTCAGAGTTTCTTTTATCCTTAAAATAAGTATATAGTTGAAATATGGTTCTAGTATACTATTGATAAAAAGCTTTTTAAGAAAAAAAGATTCTCAGGAAGACACAGAAGCAAACCTAGGTTTTTTTTTTAACTTGTCAGATTAATTGATTATAAAGTGATGGAGGAAATTTAAAATAATACATTAAACATAAAATAAAACCTCGACTTCAAAGTTTATATAAGATGCACAGACACTACGCATCCCAGCAACCTACATTGAAAAGATTTGTTTTTGGCCGGGCGCGGTGGCTCAGCCTGTAATCCCAGCACTTTGGGAGGCCGAGGCGGGTGGATCACAAGGTCGAGAGATCGAGACCATCCTGGTCAACATAGTGAAACCCCGTCTCTACTAAAAATACAAAAAACTAGCTGGGCATGGTGGCGCGTGCCTGTAATCCCAGCTACTCAGGAGGCTGAGGCAGGAGAATTGCCTGAACCCAGGAGGCGGAGGTTGCGGTGAGCCGAGATCGCGCCATTGCACTCCAGCCTGGGTAACGAGAGCGAAACTCCGTCTCAAAAAAAAAAAAAAAAAAAAAGAAAAGATTTGTTTTTAAACACTGTTAGTTATACAGGTTCTAAAATATTAAGTCCTAAGATATTCACTATAAATTTACTGACAATAAATAAACATGATATCTGTAAAGAGAAAACATGCCCGATTAAGCTATCAAAGTTCTGTGAAAGAATAAACCTTCAAAAAAACTTAAGCAGAATAAGTGGTTGTCAGCCATACTTCTACATCTAAGATTATTTAGAAAGCTCAGTCACTTTGAATTGAAGGAAAAATTATGGAGAAGGAAACTACTTCAAGAGAGAAATAAAGTAAAAGTAATCCTCAAGAATTTGAACTAGGAATCACTGTCAAATGTAACAAATGATCTAGAGTAAGAAGTATACAAATGAAATTTCCAGGTTTACTTATGACACTAATCTCTTCTTACTCATTAAACAACTGACAGAATACACTATCTAGAAGGTGGGTCTCAATATGAGAAAGTGTCAATAATAGCTACAGGGAAATATTATCTAAAATATTTGAGATGATAAGCTATAGGTATTCACTGAAAGATAGTAAAGAACCTAAAACTATTTCCAAGAGATGATAATGCAAGGTGCTGCTACATTCAAAAGGGTCAAGATAATATGGGAAACCAAGAAATATACTAGGAAAAAAATTCAAATTTCCTACTCTTACCACATTCATGATGCATTCAGATTGAGAATGGCATGAATTATGCTGGTCACATCATCTCAAGAAAGACACAGGAGAAATGTAGATGGTCCAGAAAATAAAACTAAAATGTTAAACAGGGTCAAAGGAAATGCTACCACAATTGAAGAAGCAAATTTGATTTTATAGTCCTTCTGGTGTGAGCACATTTAAGTGTATAAAGTACCATAAAAACAATGTATCCCCTTAAACTTGAAAAGATGATGAGCATAGAACAACTTAAAAGAAGTACTATTTTATACACAATAGATTTATGGAATATTTTACCCCCAAAAGTTGAAATCACAAATACATTTTTTTTTTTTTTGAGATGGAGTTTCGCTCTTGTTACCCAGGCTGGAGTGCAATGGCGCAATCTCAGCTCACCACAACCTCCGCCTCCTGGGTTCAGGCAATTCTCCTGCCTCAGCCTCCTGAGTAGCTGGGATTAGAGGCACGCACCACCATGCCCAGCTAATTTTTTGTATTTTTAGTAGAGACGGGGTTTCACCGTGTTGACCAGGATGGTCTCGATCTCTTGACCTCGTGATCCACCCGCCTCAGCCTCCCAAAGTGCTGGGATTACAGGCTTGAGCCACCGCGCCCGGCCACAAATACAATTTTTTATAAGATGAATAAAGAAAGGAAGATCTAATACAGGTACTTCAAGGAAGAGATATTTTAGGATATATCCCTACTTTCAGATGCTGAGTTCCTGAATCAAACTCTTTAAGTACATGCTCAATGCCTCTATGAATGACAGACCATGAGTATGATCTCCATAGTAATTTTTCCCATTGTAAGCAGGAGATGGGTAGTAATGGCATTCAAAGCATTTGGAAGATGCAAAGACCCCTGCCACAAACTATTTTTGAATCACTATCAAAGCCTATTTTCATGGTTACAAAAAGAAAAAACAACAACAAAACAAGAATAATTACTAAAAGGGTAAACAAAATTTAAGCAGTATGCCAGTCTGTAAAATATAAGCACAATAAGCCTCTCTCTATTGGGTGTGGGGGTAGGGCCCAAGTCATGGACAGAAAGAAGCAGAGGAGACAAAACAAAAACATCTTTTAAAAGTACAATTTAAATAAAAATGAAAAGCATTGCTAAAAATGTTTTCTTGGCACTTAGAGTGATAACAGTTTATATACCTGCTGTTTCTAAATATTTCAGAAAATAGACTGTAAAAATACAGTGCCGGCCGGGTGCGGTGGCTCAAGCCTGTAATCCCAGCACTTTGGGAGGCCAAGGCGGGTGGATCACGAGGTCAAGAGATCGAGACCATCCTGGTCAACATGGTGAAACCCCGTCTCTACTAAAAATACAAAAATTAGCTGGGCATAGTGGTGCGTGCCTGTAATCCCAGCTACTTGGGAGGCTGAGGCAGGAGAATTGCCTGAACCGAGGAGGCGGAGGTTGCGGTGAGCCGAGATCGCGCCATTGCACTCCAGCCTGGGTAAGAAGAGCGAAACTCTGCCTCAAAAAAAAAAAAAAAAAAAAAATACAGTGCCATTTGAGTTACTTATTTTAATATTCAACCATAAAAGTTTCTGTTTAATAATTAGCTTTTAAGTTTGCATAATCTCTGAACTCTATACTCAATGTCTGAAAAAGAGATAAAGGAAAAAAACAATCTTAAGAAAGAAAAATAATTAACCAAAAGTTAGATTGGAAAAGTAAAGGCCTCACTCATATAAAGACAACATAAACTGGAGACAGAATCACGTATCTTGAGTTAGAAGTTCCATCCAACCCCACTGGGGGCCTGGAGAGGGGGAAGTTTCAATAGTTCCGATGTGTTTTTAGCTTTAGGAAGCCACTCCATCTTTTTTTTTTTTTTTTTTTTTTTGCAACAGACTCTCACTTATAGCACCCAGTCTGGAGTACATCTGGGCTCACTGCAACTTCCACCTCCTGGGTTCAAGTGATTTTCCTGCCTCAGCCTCTCGAGTAGCTGGGATTACAGGCATGAGCCACCATGCTGCACTAATTTTTATGTTTTTAGTAGAGATGGGTTTCACCATGTTGGCCAGGCTAGTGTCAAACCCCTGACCTCAGGTGATCTGCCTGCTTCAGCCTCCCAAAGTGCCAAGATTACAGGCGTGAGCCACCATGCCTGGCCACTCCATCTATTTTTATAGATATAAGCAAGTAAAACCCACAGAAATTAAATGACTTGCCCAACATGACACAGCTAAGTAATAATGGAGGAGAAACCAGAATCTAGGTATTCTGCATCTTAATGCAAAATTCCATTAACTTATACTGTTTCTATAGTTTCCATGTTAAGCCTAAGTTTATTAAATATTTCTGATTTTATAATATTTACTCTCATCTTTTAACTTACCTTTTTAACCAATATTATAAATTCAGATAGTACTAAGGCAGAAATAACTCAATGTAATAATTTTTAGTCTTAATATGTATCACAAAAATTAGTATAAACAATTACTTATACTTCAGATTAATATTCTTTGCCTATGTCATCAGATCTGACTTTTCCTTGGAATGACATTTTGAAGCAATCCTGGTATCTAATTACAAGACCCAGGAAGCTCTATGTTGCAATATAAATTATGGAATCATCTAGCATAGTCTCAATAATTGATAACATGAGTCAGGTTATAAATTACACCCTAAAAGTAATGGAATAAAAATAAAGAATAGGAATGGTAAAATATCTAAATCTGATTTTTTTACATTACCTTTAATTCCTTCCCCCAAAACTTACAATCAATTAATCAATCAATAAAGGAGGTAGTAGAGAACCATAGTGAGATAATACCTGACAGCCTCTCTTTTCAATTTCCATAATACATTTCTGTATCAGAAGTGGCACCATCAGTCCTAGATTTTCTTTCTCTACAACTTTTCGAATATCAACTCCAAATATTATTGGTTCTCGGTTTATATCTAGTCCATGAAGAGAATTCTCCCACTGTTCCATAAGGGTTACTTTCACATAAATAAGACCTCTAGGTTCAAGTTTGACAGCCAACTGATGAGTCTTTGTCACTCTAAATAAGGTGGGAAGAACAACAGTTCCATGACAACAAACTCGATTTTTTCTTGGAGTTGGTTCCCAACTGAATACTACTAGTTTCAGATGTTGTGCATTTTCAATTTCTATGTTGAAAGTGTGATCCATGTCTAAAAATGTTGTTCGACAGGTGAGCAAAGCTGTTCTTGCTTTGTTTACTGAATCTACCTGAATTGCACAAAAGACATCTTTTGAATCTATCCGAGGTGGTTTTAAATCCTCAGCACCATAGAAATGTACGCTCATGAGCCCAGATATGTACTGTGAACACTTAGGTTGATCAGAAAAGCTATAATGCCTAAAAGCATCAATGTCTATTTCATTCTTGCTACAACTATTTGAAATTATTTCTTTTCCTTTTCCAAATTTGTTTTCAGATCCATGTTTGCTAGCTTTAGTTATAAGTTCAGGTGAGTCTCCATCACTGAGGTAACCACCTTTGCAGGAATACTTAGAACTCATAGAGTTTTTCTTCTGGTAGCTGTGCTGAGAAGATACACTGGTATCAAGATGGTATCGGCTTATAACATTTCTCTTAGCAGCTGTGGTTGTGTTTCCAGAGGGCAGAATATCACTATGATGAATTTCTCGACAGTTATATTTAGACAAAGAAGAAATATTATCTGGACTGTTTATATAATTCAATGTTCCCTTAACACTTAGCTTTCGGCTAAATTCTGGCAACTTTTTCATTTTCACAGAAAGTTTCCTCACAGTTCGTGGAGATTTTATTTTATCTGGCAAAGACCAATTAATTGAACTGCCTTTTTTCACAGGGCTAGGATTTGGAGAAGATGGTCCTATGATTCCCAATTCAGTACTATTTGTAGCAGCCAGGATCCCAGAACCTTAAAAAAGAAAAAGAAAAATACATTATAAACCAGTATGTTTTAATTTCTACTTCTATTCTTATTTTATAAACCATCAACTAAACAAGCTCTCACATGGGCAAAAATTCTTACCTTATTTCATTTCAATGGGGAGATTTCATTAGAAATTCAGGTCAACTTCATCACCATATTCAAGGAGACTACTGCATTATCCCAACTATTTAAAATTCAATTTTTCAAACTTTGTCTAACTGTTCCTTATAGATCTAATAACCTCACATCAAAAGCTAATGTATGTAACACAACATTTCACAATTAAAATGAGAAGTGTTTATTCATTTTAAAAATCAATAAATGACCTTTAAAAAGTACTAATATTCTCCCTCCACCCCTTTGTGTCCTAATGACAAATAAGTAGTTTCTTTACAGAGAAAAAAACTATTTTAAGTATGCCTTCAGGGCTTTTCCAGTAAAGCTAATAGAAATGGTGTGTTTGATAAACTGGATAAAGCATCCCCTTGTACTAAAATTATAGCACAATTCTGACTTACAAGTCTAAAACATTCTAGAGTTAATCAGAGTCCTGCTTTAGTCTACAAACATTAACTTGTCTATTTTATCACAGCCTAGAAAAGCTATCCAGTATATTAAATTACTTTACATTTAATAAATTATCATATTTAAAATTTGACTCTTTTTACATAAGTAAATAATTTTTACTGAAGTCCTTAATTATTAAAATGAAATCCTATACATGATAGCAACTTCCATTGCAGATGAGACTGAATTTATGAAACCAAAATGCTTTATTTTTATAAAACCCAAGAACCAAAATATTACCAAATTCCATAATTGCTTAAAATTAAACTACAACTCTACTAATCAAATCACATGCTATCTTGAAAAATAAGGTACAAAATAAAAATCTTTAAATATAAATTTATGAACTAGGCTAGAGTTGAGTGAAACTGGCATACTCCTTCAGCACCTAGAACAGTAACTGGTACATAATAGGAACTCAATATTTAGTAAATAAATGAATTAACTAACCAATTGTTAGTTGCCTTGTAAACTGGCAAACTTTGTAGAAAATACAACATAGAAATTAACAATAATAATTACTAGCCATAAACACCAAGTGATGATACTGGTAATTGATCTGAATGAAGCAAAAAATATGATGATGAAGATCACTGCAATAGCTCTGTAAACAAGCTATTAACACTTAACATTAAGGAAACAGTCAAATAGATTAGGGCATATCAACCAGTTAAATACTGTACTACAATGCTTGAGAAACAATAATATTACTCTACCTGTAACAATGCAACATGAAGATACCAACTGAAAATAGGAAAAACCAAAAATAAAGTCCACTATGATTGCAACTGATAAAAGATACATATATATCATGGTGGCTCACTGTTATCACATTACTTTGAGAGGCTGAGACTGATAGGAGTCAAGACCCGCATGGGCAACATGGCAAAACCCCATGTCTACAAAAGATACAAAAAATTACCATGTGCAGTGGTGTGCTATAGTCCCAGCTACTAGGGAAGCCAAGGTGGGAAGACTGCTTGAGCCAGGAAGGTCGAGTATGTCCCAGGCCAAGAAACTACAGTGAGCTATGATCGTGCCACTGCAGTCCAGCCTGGGAAACACAGCAATATCCTGTCTTTAAAAAAAAAAAAAAAAAAAAAAAAAAAGATACATATGTATCGAAAAAAAAAAAAAGTCATAATTGTGTTAGGATGAATTAGCTTTCCAATTCTCCAATAAAAAATTATTTTGAGGCTGGCGCGGTGGCTCAAACCTGTAATCCCAGCACTTTGGGAGGCCGAGGCGGGTGGATCATGAGGTCAAGAGATAGAGACCATCCTGGTCAACATGGTGAAACCCGTCTCTACTAAAAATACAAAAAATTAGCTGGGCATGGTGGCGTGTGCCTGTAGTCCCATCTACATGGGAGGCTGAGGCAGAAGAATTGCCTGAACCCAGGAGGTGGAGTTTGCGGTGAGCCGAGATCGTGCCATTGCACTCCAGCCTGGGTAACAAGAGCGAAACTCTGTCTCAAAAAAAAAAAAAAAAAAAAAAAATATTTTGAAATTCAACCATTTTCCATGCCAGTTTCTCAACAGCCTTCTGCCAATATTGCCAAGAAACAGATTACTTTAGGTAAAGTTTCTACCAAAATAAAACAACAACAAAAAAGATGATTTATAAACAAACTGTCTAAATGTTTCCTTTGGTCAATTTAGGATTTTTGACCAAAAAACAATTATATGTTATAATTATATATTTTACAATATTAAATATTATAAATATTTTATATTTATAATTATGTATTTATATTTTATAATTATAAATATTTTAATTATATATTTATGAGGATGACAGTAAAAAAGCAGATAGTAAAAAAAACAGATATACTATACTTTTAAGTTGTGTTTTTAAAAAAATGTTAGTCTTCTCAGGTTTACAATTTGCCACGAATATTAAAAAAAAAAAAGTGTAAGGACAGTCACTTAAATCAAGGTGTGTGTCACATCACGGACACCAACTTTCTATCTTTGCTCTTATCCTTATACTCTCTTGCCTTCTCTGAACTATTCCATATGCTTTGCTATCTGATACTATAGCCTTCCCTATCACCCCACCCTGATCGAAATCTACATTCCAAATTACTATTTTATATAGTATTTATTTCTATCCCTATCCAGATTACAAAAGAAGCACACATTCATTCTGGAGAATTAGCCTACAATTAGAAATGCACAAAGAAAAAAATTTAATTACCTTCAATCTCAACACCCAGAAAAAAATAAAAACAAATAAACAAAAACCTTAACATTTCCAGTACAGCTTTCATCTTTCTTTCAAAATTTGCCATCATACAGTACACATTGTTTTGGAACTTGCTTTTTCTCTTAATATATATTTACTCCACCTTCCTATGTCCCTGAGAAAAGGCTTCAAATGCAAGTAGTTTATTTGCAAAGTACAGAAACATCAGTGAGAGAGTTGAGAAAATTCTGGGGAAAATTCAAGTGGAATTACCAAGTCTGTTATCACTGTGGGCAACTGGAGCTGGACCTCGTCAGAAAACTCTGGGAAACAACATAGAATATAAACTCAATAGAATTATTTCGCCCAAGGGGTGAGGTAGCTGGGGTAGTTCTATACCCGCTCTTGTAAGTCACTGGTTGAGAGGCACTCCCAGGCTGCACCACAGAGAGATTCTCTAAACCTTCAAAGTCCTCAAGCAGAAATGAAGATGGTGGTGGCTAGAAATAGGCTTCGTCCATTTAAACAGTAAGTAATAAAACGCAAGGGATATAAAACAAGGCACTGATAGTATCTCCTATACCCCACATCTTTAAATATTCTGTATCACTTGAAATTCTATAAATTAAAATGACTTGATATCAAATAGAACTGCTTTCTATTCTACATTTGATATTTGCAAGCAAATGTGCCTTATGTTCTGTTTCCTGGGTAGTACTGGGACTAAAAGAAACCTATTAGAAGATTAAAGGCAATTTTTGCAGATCAAAAACTTTTGAATGTCAGCAATTTCAAATGGTCAACCTAATATACATAAAACTTCATTCATTTCATTTTCAGTTCCTAACTACTGTAGCACCTATTTTCAAATGGGTCAACCTAATTTACATAAAACTTCAATTACCTCATTTTTCAGTTCCATAACCTATTTGCAAGGTCCTTACTTCTACTTCTCATTTCTTTTTTACTTCTCTCTTTCCTTTGCTCATGAGGAAACTTAGGCATAAAAAACACAAACTAATCACCACTAGTACACTAAAAATAAAACTTTCAGCTTCGGCCAGGCCAGTGTGAATGAATGAGTCAGTAAAGCAAAATAAGACTTACTTTTTCTTCAACTCCCTATGATTCCTTGCTTTCAACTAATAGAAAAGCAATTACTGTTTCAAAGGATCAATATATTAAAGCACAACGGATTATAAAATCAAGTCTGTGGCCAGGCACAATGGCTCACGCTTATAATCCCAGCACTTTGGGAGGCCAAGGTGGGCAGATGGCTTGAGGTCAGGAATTCAAGACCATCCTGGTCAACATGGCAAAACCCTGTCTCTACAAAAATTAGCTGGGCATGGTTGCAGGAACTTGTAGTCCTAGCTACTCAGGATGCTGTGGTGGGAGGATCACCTGAGCTTATCACCTGCGATAAGCCATGATTGTGCCACTGCACTCTAGCCCAGGTGACAGAGTGAGATCCCTTCTCAAAAACTTAAAATAAAAATCAAGTCTGTGATACTGCGATAGTAACAATCAAACCAGCATGTATGTTAAAATGTTTATAAACCTTTTTGTTTTATTTTTGTAAAAATATATTCACTTCACAAGAAAAAGTACATAAACGTAATAGACATCCTTTATATTTAGTTTTAGCTACTATCAAATAAGTAAAAAATGGAATAAGAAAGAAAAGACAGGTATATCATCATTTTTACCTGCAAAACGAGATTTCAACATGGTACTGTCCTCCACCATTATACCTTCTTGTGTCTTGTATCCTAGCCTTTGTTTGCACTGCTGCACAAATTCTGTGGAATGGGCAGGATCTACAGTATTCATTCCATTTGACTGTGTGGTCTGAATATCACCTGTATGTTCCAAAGAGCACAGCGAGTCTTCAGTATAATGCTCTGCTTTCATAAGGTCACTGCCAGACAATATGCTCAAACTGACAGCAGGGAGCTTCAGAACAGCAGAGTTTGCCTCACCAAAACTCAAGGCGCTTGATATACAAAGGTCATCATCCTCAGGAATGGGGTTGTACCATATTTCGCCTTCATCATCTGCATCATTGTCCTCATTAAAATCTAAAGAACAGTTTTTCGATAATGAAGAGTTTGTAGGGTTACATACCATATGTGTACAGTTCTCTTCAGATGATTTGAGGAAAGACTGTGATAGCTGATGTTTGGGTAGAGACACAGGTGAGATAGATACATGACTTCTACCTTGACATTTCTTATTTTCTTCTTCCAGATTAAGAGATCTCAGAGTACTCTGATATAGCCAATTGCGTTTCTTTGAAACAGTGATGCTGTTAAGTGGCTTGTAAGCTCTGAATTCAATATTATCTTTCAGATCTTCAGATTCTCTTCTCTTCATTGAAGACCCATAGGCATTTTCAAATAAATCTGGTGCAAAGATAGAATAGAAGGTAGAATATAATGTCTGGTATATCAGAAAGACATGTCACTTCAGATTAGTTATTTTTTTAAAAAAATTTTAAAGAAGTAACAATCACATTCAGAGACTAAAATTGAACTAGAAAAAATTTGAATTTTCCATCTAAATGATTTCTATTACTTAGAAATCAAACTGCTAGTATAAGTGTCAAAGAATTCTAAAAGGATACACAAACTCTGAGCCTGCCTTTATAAAAACTATAGTGTTAACAAAGCCTTACCTTAAGCAAACCATATCTTATAAAAAGTTTATATGGAATGCTTTATACATAGTATGCCTCTAATTAATATTTGAATAAAGTTCAAATCATTATTACAAAACCAGAAATCCTCCTACCTTTTCTCATACAACGACTAACTTTCAAACCAAACAAAAAAGTATGCCTCACTGATACTAAAACATCAACATAACATTGCTTCTTATCCATATAGCACAATAGCACCTGACATGGGATTTAAGTTCCAAATATCTAGGGCAGAGCTAAAATCAAAAATTCCTTCAGAAGGCCCAAGATTAGAAGCAGGTATGCTGTCTCACAGTACACACTATACAGCTATTATTATTTTGGGCAGGTATAAACTTAAGCAGCAGGGAAATAAGAATGAACAAAACAATCCCTTCCTTTAAGAAATTCATAGTCCAGGAGCAGAACATGGCTACACTGGCGCAGCAGGATACATGGTGCCTGTCATACGGTCCAGAGAGCTGCCTTCCACAGAGACCAGCAAAAGAGTGGGCAAACATGAAGTCCAGTCCTGCCGTCCAGGCTGCCATTGACCTCATGGTGGGGACAGCAGATCCCACATGGACTGTGTGGATGTATCAGTCACAGCATGACTCCATGAAATGCTTGCATTCGACCCATCAATTAGACTTCTCCATAGGAAACCTGCTCAGTGAAGAAAACCTTAAATAGGATGGCCGAACAGGAACAGCTCTGGATTGCAGTTTCCAGTGAAAACGCATTTCCAAACAAATTTTTACTGCCCACAAATCAGGAGATTCCTAGGCGGAAAAGCGCCACCAGTCTCAGCATGGCTGTTTCAGCCAGCGCAGCAGGTCTGCGCACAAAAACTCATGCAAATCTGGACACTGTTTCAACTGGCAACTGGAACGCCTGGGAGATAGAGTCACCCGTTCAAATGAAAAAAAGGGGGCTGAAACAGAGCCAGGTGATCTGGTGCAGCTGGTCCCACCCCCACAAAGACCAGCAATCTGAACTGCTCTGGATTGAGAGTTTCACCGCAAGCACAGCTGAACTCATCTCTGTTGGGGGAAGGGCATCCGCCATTAGCGTGGCAGTCCAACACTACCAAGGCAGTAGGACATTTCTGAGGCAGTCCACCATTACCGAGGCAGTCCGCCATTACCGAGGCAGTCCGCATTACAGAGACAGTCTGCCGTTACTGATGCAGATCACCATTATCAAGGCAGTTCTAATTATACCTCTATAAACAAAACTGCAAGGAAGTTCCCACAGCAGCTGGGCAGAGCCCACAGCAGCTCAGCAACACCTCTGCTGCAGACTGTGACTAGGCTACCTCCTCACTGGCGAGGGCATCTCTGAAAAAAGGTGGTAGCCCATCACAAACTTATAAATAAAGCCCCACCTTCCCAGGACAGAGCACCTGGGAAAAAAAGGCAGTTATGAGATCTGCTGCAGCAGACTTAAATGTACCTGCCCAGCAGCTCTGAACAGAACAACAGAGCTCACAGCACAGCACTTGAGCTCCTATAAGGGACAGACTGTCCCCTCAAGCAGCTCCCCGACCCCCATATACACAAAGAGATACCTAGTAAAGGAGAGCTTAGCCTTACATCTGGTGGTTAGTCTTCTGGGACAAAGATAACTGAAGAAGAAACTGTCATCAACCCTTAGTGTTCTGCAGCTGCTGTAGGTGATCCCCAGGCAAGCAGGGTCTGGAATAAACTTCCAGCAGTCCTACAGCAGAGCGGCCTGACTGTTAGAAGGGAAACTAAGAAACAAAGAATTAACTTCATCATCAACAAAAAGGATGTCCACTCAGAGACCCCATTTGAAAGTCACGAACTACAAAGACCATAGGTAGATAAATCCACAAAGATGGGAAGAAACCAGTGTAAAAAGGATGAAAACACCCAAAACCAGAACACCTCTCCTCCTCCAAGGGATCACAATTCCTCACTAGCAAAGGAACAAGGCTGGATGGAGAATTAGTCTGATGAATTGATAGAAACAGGCTTCAGAAGGTGGATAATAACAAACTTCTGTGAGCTAAGGAACATGTTCTAACCCAATGCAAAGAAACTAAGAACCTTGAAAAAAGGTTTGACGAAATGCTAATGAGAATAAACAGCTTAGAGAGGAATATAAATGAATTGATGGAGCTGAAAAACACAACATGAGAACTTTGCAGAGCATACACGAGTTTCAATAGCCGAATCGACCAAGCAGAAGAAAGGATATCAGAGACTGAAGATCAACTCAATGAAATAAAACGAGAAGGCAAGATTAGAGAAAAAAACAGTAAAAACAAATGAACAAAGCTTCCAAGAATTATGGGATTATGTGAAAAGACCTAATCTACATTTGATAGGTGTACCTGAATGTGAAGGACAGAATGAATCCAAGCTGGAAAACACTCTTCAAGATATTATCCAGGAGAACTTCCCCAACCTAGCAAGGCAGGCCAATATTCAAGTCCAGGAAATACAGAGACCACCACAAAGATATTCTTCAAGAAGAGCAACCCCAAGGCACATAATCAGCAGATTCACCAGGGTTGAAATGATTAAAAAAATGCTAAGGGCAGCCAGAGAGAAAGGTTGGGTTACCCACAAAGGCAAGACAATCAGACTCACAGCAGATCTCTCAGCAGAAACTCTACAAGCCAGAAGAGAGTAGGGGGCCAATATTCAACATCCTTAAACAAAAGAACTTTCAACCCAGAATTTCATATCCAGCCAAACTAAGCTTCATAAGTGAAGGAAAAATAAAATCCTTTGCGAACAAGCAAGTACTCGGAGATTTCATCACCACCAGGCCTGCTTTATAAGAGCTCCTGAAAGAGGCACTAAACATAGAAAGGAACAACCAGTACCAGCCACTCCAAAAACATACAAATGGTAAAGAGCATCAACACAATGAAGAAACTGCATCAACTAATGGGCAAAACAGCCAGCTAGCATCAAGATGGCAGGATCAAATTCACTGATAACAATATTAACCTTAAATGTAAATGGATTAAATGCCCCATCAAAAGACACAGACTGGCAAATTGGATAAAATGTCAAAACCCATTGGTGTGCTGTATACAGGAAACCCATCTAACATGCAAGGATACACACAGGCTCAATATAAAGAGATGGAGGAAGAATTACGAAGCAAATGGAGACCAAAAAAAAGCAGGATTTGCGATCCTAGTCTCTGATAAAATGGACTTTAAGCCAACAAAGATCAAAAGAGACAAAGAAGGACATTACATAATGGTAAAAGGATCAATGCAAATAGAAGATCTAACAATCCTACATATATATGCACCTAATACAGGAGCACTCAGATACATAAAGCAAGTTCTTAGTGACCTACAAAGAGACTTAGACTCCCACACAATAATAGTGGGAGACTTTAACACTCCACTGTCAATATTAGACAGATTAATGAGACAGAAAATTAACAAGGATATCCAGGCCTTGAACTCAGATCTGGACCAAGCAAACCTAATAGACATTTACAGAACTCTCCACCCAAAATCCACAGAATATACATTCTTTTCAGCACCACATCACACCTACTCTAAAACTGACCACATAATTGCAAGTAAATCACTCTTCAGCAAATGCAAAAGAATGGAAATCACAACAAACAGTCTCTCAGACCACAGTGCAATCAAACTAGAACTCAGAATTCAGAAACTAACTCAGAACTGCACAACTTCGTGGAAACTGAACAACTGGCTCTTGAATGTTGACTGGATAAACAATGAAATGAAGGAAGAAATAAAGATGTTCTTTGAAACCAACGAGAAAGAAGACACAACATACCAGAATCTCTGGGACACATTTAAAGCAGTGTCTAGAGGAAAATTTATAGTAATAAATGCCCACATGAGAAGCAAGGAAAGATCTAAAATCGACACCCTATCATTAAACTTGAAAGAGCTAGAGGAGCAAGATCAAAAAAACTCAAAACCTAGCAGAAGACAAGAAATAACAAAGATCAGAGCAGAACTGAAGGAAATAGAGACACAAAAAACACTTTAAAAAGTCAATAAATCCAGGAGCTAGTATTTTGAAAAGATCAACAAAATAGACAGACCACTAGCCAGATTAATAAAAAAGAGATAATAATCAAATAGATGCAATAAAAAACAATAAAGGGGATATCTCCACAGATTTCACAGAAATGCAAAGCACCTTTAGAGATTACTACAAACAACTCTATGCACATAAACCAGTAAACCTGGAAGAAACGGATAAATTCCTGGACGCTTGCACCCTCCCAAGCGTAAACCAGGAAGAAGTCAAAACCCTGAATAGACCAATAATGAGAGCTGAAGTTGAGGCAGCGGTTAATAGCTACCAACCAAAAAAAGCCAAGGTTCAGATGGGTTCACAGCCGAATTTTATCAGACATACAAAGATGAGCTGGTACCACTCCTTCTGAAACTATTCCCAACAATCCAAAAAGAGGGAATCCTTCCCAAATCATTTTATGAGACCAACATCATCCTGATACCAAAACCTGGCAGAGACTCAACAAAAAAAGAAAATTTCAGGCCAATATCCATGATGAACACAGATGCAAAAATTTTCAATAAAATACTGGCAAATCGATTGCAACAGTACATCAAAAAGCTTATCTGCCATGATCAAGAAAGCTTCATCCTGGGATGCAAGGCTGGTTCCACATACGCCAAGTCTATAAATGTAATCCACCACTTAAACAGAACCAAAGACGAAAACCACA